TTTGTTCAGATGTGGAACACTAATTCTAAAGTGGACCCAATCCAACTGATGGAAAGAACTTCTATTCCACGTTAATGAGAGTCCACATTTTCTATTTAAGTCAGTTTGCAGCAGAGTTTTTGTTAATGCAGCCAGAGCCACTCTAACTAATTAAAGATAATCAAATAAAGTTTTGGGTATATCACCAAATACTCACTTTATGTAAGAGTCTCCTATAAGGAAAGATTTAGGGAACATACTTTAAAAAGTCAAATTTCATTCATACTGAACCGAGGAATTTAATCTTTCATTCCCTTTAGAACATCTATCCTCTCCCCCTCCCCACCTTCTACGTTTTTTCTGTTCAAAAATAAAAGGGAAAAAATAAGATACACAAAGGAATTCCCAGAAGACTATAAAAATCGATGCTCAATAATAATGGCAGTATCCCTGATTCTAAGGATATCAACAAAATAAAAGCACAAAGCACTGAAATGATACAATATTTAAAAACTTAATGTTAAACTCCATCTGATAAGTGTTTTATTTATCTATGTATTTATTTATGTATTTATTTATTATTTATTTTCTTAAAGCGGGCTCCACGCCCAGTGAGGAGCCCAATGTGGGTCTTGAATGTACAACCCTGAGATGAAGACCTGATCTGAGGGTGCCTGGGTGGCTCAGATGGTTAAGTGTCTGCCTTCGGCTCAGGTCATGATCCCAGGCTCCTGGGATCGAGTCCCGCATCGGCCTCCCTGCTCCTTGGGAGCCTGCTTCTCCCTTTGCCTCTCTCTCTCTGTGTCTCTCATGAATAAATAAATAAAATCTTAAAAAAAAAAAAAAAAAAAAGACCTGATCTGAAATCAAGAGTCAGACACTTAAGTAACTGAGCCACCCAGGTGCTCCTGGACATTTTAAAAATACATTTATATTTTTTAATATCTAAAATAGTCATATGGTTCAAAATTCGAAAGGTTCCAAAACTCATGTTTTGGAACCTTTTTGTCCTCAAGCCCCTTTCTTCTCCCAGGAGGCAACAAATGTTACCAGTTTCTTCTGAATACTTTCAGAGATTGTCAATTTGAACATAATGCAGTGGGGTGGCTGGGTGGCTCAGTAAGTTAAGCGTCTGACTCTTGACTTCGGCTCAGTCATGAGATCGAGCCCTGTATCATGCTCTGCACTCAGCCGGGAGTCTGCTTGAGATTCTTTCCCTCTTCCTCTGCCCCTCCTCCCATTCTCCCTCTCTCTCAAATAAATAAATTGTTAAAAAGGAAAAGAAAAGAATGCAGTGAAGTATTTTCAGCTTATCAAAAAATTGACCGTGTGGTGCAACAGAAAAAGCAATAGGTTTAAGAATCAAACTAGCGAAGTCATCACTGTACAAATTACCTAAACTCTCTAAGCCTCAGTTTCCATCTTTAATGCAGGGATAAAGGGGTGCCTGGCTGGCTCCACTGAACAGCATGAGGCTCTTGATCTCAGGGTTGTGAGTTTGAGCCCCATGTTGGGTGTAGAGTTTATATAAATGAACTAATAAATTAATTAAAAAAATAAAGTAGGGAGGCGCCTGGGTGGCTCAGTTGGTTAAGCGACTGCCTTCGGCTCAGGTCCTGATCCTGGAGTCCCGGGATCGAGTCCCGCATCGGGCTCCCTGCTCGGCAGGGAGCCTGCTTCTCCCTCTGACCCTCCCCCGTCTCATGCTCTCTCTATCTCATTCTCTCTCTCAAATAAATAAATAAAATCTTTAAAAATAAATAAATAAATAAATAAATAAATAAAATAAAGTAGGGATAAAAATGGACAGTCAATATTGAGTGCCTATTACGGCCAAGTATGATGCTAAATTCTAAAGATTCAGATGAAAAACCTATTTGCTGTCTTCAAGAAGTTAGGAGATAGAACAGTAAACAATTATAATATAGGGTGATAAGTACAAGGACAGAGGTAATCACAGGATACAGGAATACAGAGAAGTATACAGAGGACACAATTCTTGGCATTAAGAAAGTAAGCAACAAATGTTATTTCCTTTCTTCTAATTAATTTTCATGTGATTTACATTCATTTAATTTCATTTCACATTCACATTTAAAAATTTATAATTCTTACAGCTTTTAAAACAGGCAAGCAGTCTCAGTTACTTTTATATTAAAACTTTTTAAAAAATGAATCAATAGGGGTGCCTGGGTGGCTCAGTTGTTAAGCGTCTGCCTTCGGCTCAGGTCATGATCCCAGGGTCCTGGGATCAAGCCCCGCATCGGGTTCCCTGCTCCGTGGGAAGCCTGCTTCTCCCTCTCCCACTCCCCCTGCTTGTGTTCCCTTTCTTGCTGTGTCTCTCTCTGTCAAATAAATAAATAAAATTAAAAAAAAAATACGTAAAATATCATGAATACAAGTATCAAACAAATAATTCTCAATTCTCAATAAACTATATCAAATTGAATCAGTGCTTTTTAAGATTTTTTCATTTTATAATGAAAAATACACTTCTAAAGAGCAAATAAACTTCAACATGTTTTAGAAGACGATAGAGTTTCACTACTGTATAAGCTTCAGTGAACTTCTCTAAGATTCTTATCTTTTAGTTAGGTAATCAGAAAAGCTTAGGCTCTAACCTATTTAAAATACCCTTTGAGGGGCGCCTGGGTGGCTCAGTCGTTAAGCGTCTGCCTTCGGCTCAGGTCATGGTCCCAGAGTCCTGGGATCAAGCCCCGCATCGGGCTCCTTGCTCAGCAGGGAGCCTGCTTCTCTCTCTCCCACTCCCCCTGCTTGTGTTCTCTCTCTCTCTGTCAAATAAATAAAATCTTAAAAAAAAAAAAAAATACGCTTTGAGCTCCTTGGACAAATGAGTGATTCTAGGTCTGGGGCAGGGAAAATAGAGATGAGCCAAGAGCATCAAATAGTGCCAGAAAGTAAAGTAATACTTAAAAAAAAAATAATAGTAAGATACAACAGCCAAAGAACAAAATAAAGACCCATAAATCCATACTGATAAAAATAAATGTCTATATAATTAAATAAATGAGGAAAGAATTCTAAATAATTTAAGCAGATAGACCCCCTTCAGGAGGTAGAGCTTAATTCTCTTCCCCTCCAGTACTGACTGGACTTAATTACCTGCTTCAAAAAATAGAGTATGGAAAGAGTAAAAGATAATAACTTCAAACAGAGAAACCTTAACCAATGGATGGAGGTTAACATCATCAGCAATAAGTAGTGTTGATGTCACTTGCCCCCTAGGGTGACATGAGAAAGATACTTCACTTCTGTGGTATTCTTTCCCCAAATCCATCATCCCAGTGTAATCAAGAGAAAATATCAGACAAATCCACATTCAGGAACATCCTACAAATACCTGGTTAGTACTCTTCAAAAGTTTCAAGGTCATGAAAAATAAGCAAAGTCTGAGAGACTATCACAGGTTGGAGGAGATAAGGAGGCTTGATGACTAAATGCAACGTGGTATCTTGACTGGACTGACCAGAAAAAGGATGTTAGTGGAAAAGCTGGTGAAATCCAAATAAACCTTATAGTTCAGTTAACTGTATTGTACCTGTGTTAATTTCTTAGTTTTGGTAAATGTATCATTGTTACATTAACATTGGGGAAGCTGGGTGAAGGGTATACAGAAACTGTAGTGTCTTTGCAACTTTTCTACAAACCTAATATTATTCAAAAAAGCACTTTTTAAAAATGTGCTTGATACATAGCATGGATGTTTAGAGGTTCTAGGTAGGAAAGGATTTCAGCGACATACACACTAGTAATGTTCCTATGCTGAAAAGCTCTTATGTCAATCTCAATTCTAGACCTGAGATGACTCAGGCAGGCTAATCATGAATGCCACCACCGAGCCATGCCCTAACACCTCTCTATTTTCATATAAAAATATAAAAAAAAGAAAATATACTAATACCCCCAAATTTGGAAAGACGCCAACTGAGGAGGAAGGTAGGCAACCTCAGAAAAACTCAGAAATAAACACCCTTACTAACGCAGGAGCTCAGCAAAGAAAGCTGCTAGGGCTTACTATATTTCTAAGGTCTCCATGCTAATTTGGGAAATGAGAAGCAGCCCACAGGAGTGAGATATACTTGGGATTTGGGACAGAAGATTTTATGGGATCTCAGAAGAAAAAAAACAGAGACCAGGTCCACCGTCAAGATTTGCCTCAGTCTCAGTGAGTAGTTTTTTTGCAAGTAGAAGTGAATCATGTCATGTTTGGGTCAGGTGATGAAGAGGTGGTGTGTCTTCACCTTCTTTTCACTCATCTGCTGGCTGGACGCAGAGGAGTTCCAAGCCCTACAGGACGCCTGAGCCAGAAAATGAAAGGAGTCTGAGTCCCCGGTCACCACATGAAAGGCTATCTGCTCACCAGAAAAACCTACATCTGACTGTAACAAGCAGTTGTGTAGACATCTGAAACATGTCGTTTAAAAAACTGCAAAACAAAACCCCAACCTCTTAGTATCATTCATCTTTTCTTTAGGTAAAATTCAAAGGGAATGAATACCTTATACTAAAGAAACACCGGAATTTCAGCAATTACTTTCATTTTTAAATCCAAGTTAAACTAAACGTAATACTATTTAGAGAAAATGTGTAATATACCATCCCACTTTGATAAAATTATTCCTATGCATCTTTCTACTCACTCTATCTGTATGTATGAACAGAAAGGTCTCCAGAATAATGTTCATAAAATGTATTTCAAATATCTGAGCGTGTGTGTGTGTGTGTGTGTAAGGGATGTGTTGCTTTCCTAGTACTTTCCTATGTTACTAAAATTTTTAACAATGATAATAACCCCGTAACTCCATAAGTACAATTATGTTCACTACCCTGATGAGAAAAGCACAGTTAATATACAGTAAAACTGGTTTCTGAATTCAAGTATTCTTGTTCCAGGGACCACATTAAACTGTCTTTGTAAGTACGTCACATTTATTTATTTATTTAGCAACTTCTATGTCCAATGTGGGGCTCCAAGATTAAGAGCTGCATATTCGGGGCACCTGGGTGGCTCAGATGGTTAAGCGTCTGCCTTCGGCTCGGGTCATGATCCCGGGGTCCTGGGATTGAGCCCCGCGTCGGGCTCCTGGCTCACTGGGGAGCCTGCTTCTCCCTCTGCCTCTCTCCCTGCTCATGCTCTCTCTCTAAAAAAAAAAAAAAAAAAAAAAAGAGCTGCATATTCTACTGAGCCAGCCAGGCACCCCAAGTACATATATATTTTTTTAAAAAAATAAGGGTAGCCTATGTTACCTGTATAATAAGCATATATCATACTTATTTTTAAAAAGGGGGTGGGCAGTAGAGCACCTGGAAGGAGCAGCTACTAATGTCTAATGTCATGGGCTAGTGGCAAACATGGAAAATCTAATGGTAGCCACAAAATCTCTATGCTGGATATTAAAGACACTTATTATTTATCAAGCATATCCAGTATCAGCTTATCTGAAGCAAAACTGCACAAGTAAAAATTAGGAATCTGGTTATTAATGTTTATTTCAGGAAACTTGGGAACAGTCACTCCTCTTCATTATCAGTATGTCTCAGAAAAACAGTACCTTGGGGTAAAAAGTATGGTTTAACTTCAGCAGAACACCTCTCAGAAAACGTTTATATCAGAAATTTAGGGAAATTTGTGTGTATAGTTTAACACAGAATTGGCTTTGAAACAATTTGCCAAAGAGCCATTTGTTTTAAACTGGGAAGAAGTGCTGAATATTTAGTGGAAGGTATGCTAAACTGACATTTGCTACAACTTCAATGTCATTTTAAATATCATATTCATTAATGACTGAGACTTAATGTCTTTGTAAATTAATCCTGCTTAGTGAGTCTGAATATGCTATTCTTATTCACACGAATGTTCAAGATACTGGTTGCAGCAACATACGGCATCTCATACACTAAAATTCTTAGGGAAAACACAGTTTTTAAGTGCAGGAATCTGTTACCAAGGAAAAGGGGGGAGGGGTAGGAGGGAATGACACACACACTTTCTCATGCAGTATGAGATACAACATTCAAGTATCAGGTTCCAGATATAACATTCAAGTATCTTTTTAAAAACAAAGACATTTTCCTCAATAACATCCTGAGATGTCAAGTTTCTCAAGTAAATCTTCTACCCAAAAGTCACCCTTTGAAGTAAATCTATGAATGCCCTACTTCTTTCAACAAGAACAATCAACTGTGTTTGCCTTTCCAGAACAACCAGCTGGTTAACCAAATAGAGAGAGAAACAAAACTTCCCCAGTCACCAGATGTCTTAATTTGGAACAGTTAGTAACAATGTGGAGTAATCCAGAATTTTGAGTTGGTACTATATGTTTACTACTTCTTTTTCTAATTCTGAATAGACGCTTTTAAAAATTAAGCAAATGGGTTCTCTTTGATAACTGCAAAAAAAGGTGGGGGGATAAAAAGAACCACTGCCTATAGCCCTAACAGATCGATGTTAACATCAAAGAACAAGCCACTTGAATATTATGTGTTATAGTTAGAAATTGATCTATCAGCATTAAATCTAAAGTCCTAAAGAATTACCCTATTCAATAATCGAAAAACAATTCTTGAAGGACTGACATGACAGGCCTAGAATACACTGGATTCAGCAAAGAACATAAGCAAAGTCCCTGCCTTCCTGGGGGGCAGTGGGGTGACAGACAGCCATAGAGACAAATAACTAATTATAATAATGAAAATAGTCAAAGTGTTATGAAAAATAATACTGGTTAAGGCAAGAAAAATGAGGCAGGAAAGTCCTTTTGGATTCAGTCATTAAAGGAAAGCCTCTCCCATGAGGTGACATTTCAGCTGAGACCAGAAGGAAATGAGGGAGCAAGGTATTGCACTGTGTGGGCTAAGAGCCTCCTGGGCAGAGAGAAACAGCAAGTGGTCCACAGCAGCTGAAGCTGAGTCAGAGAAGGAAAATGGTGTAGGAAATAAGGTTAAAGAGGTAGCCGGAGATAAATTAATAAATCTTAAAAAAACCTGAAAAACAAAAAATATGATCTCGGTCACAGTGGGGAGTCGGCTCGGGGATTCTCTCTCTCTCTGCCCCTCCCCCCACTCACTCACACTTATGTGTGTGCACATGTGTGCACACACGCTCTTTCTCTCAAAATAAATAAATCTAAAAAAAAAAAAAAAGAGGTAGCTGGAGCCGGATAAGAGCTTTGCAGGGCCATGGTCAGAACTTGAGATTTTATTCTCAAGTGAGAAGAAGGCTGGTTGAGAGCAGATGAGAGATGTTTGTCCAGGGATTGCTCAGGCTGCTGCCTGGACAACAGACCTTAGGGCCAGAATGGAAGTAGTGCAAAGGTTTGTGCAAAATTCTGGGCAAGTGATATAAAAGTGGAGAGAAGTGGCTGGATACAGGCCACAATCAGGAAAGAGAAATAAGAAGAATTTCCTGATTAGACAAGTGGGGTATGAAGAGAGGTGACAAAGATAGATGAGGCTTCAATTTCTGGCCTGAGTAACAAAGCCAATGCTGGCATGTTACTCTTAGAGTAATTACAAACTTTTAAGAAAATTACAAGAGGATTAATTAGATAATTAGACAAGTATCCAATTGTTTAAATAGTCTTTACTGATCAACTGTGGGATATTAATAGACTGGAACGCTACACGGCAATAAAAAAACCATATACTATCGGTACATGCAACGATATGGAAGAATCTCAGAACTGTTTAGTGACAGAAGCCTGACACAGAATATTATTATGATTTCATTTACACAAAATTTAAGAACAGGCAAAACAAGTCTATAATGGTTGAAATCAGAATACTGGTTATCTTTTGAGGGGGATATGGATTGGGAATGAGAACAAGAGAATTTTGTGGGTGGTGATTATGCAGATATATGCATTTGAAAAACAAACAAACCATCATGGAGGAGAATGACCCCTGGCCTCCAGCATGATTCTCACATTGAGTGAACAGCATCAACAGTTGGAGGGGGAAGAAGAGAGTGTCGAGAAATCCCTTATTTAGCATAGGTAAGCAGGGCTGCTAAAAGTTGAGAGCCGTGGAGCAACAACTTTGAGGAAAACCCTTCAGCATACCAGGCCCAACACTAAGCACAGGATATTAACAGCCCACAGGCAAAGAATTTCAAGTCTGTAGTGTACTGATGGTAACCATAGCAACAACAAAACCTAAACCAGCTCACCTACAGATTACACTATTCAATCCCTAACGCTAACAATCTGACAGAAGCAGAGAGGTGTCCATTTCCAGGAATAAATGCTATTTACCTTGGTGTTTACTACTGTTCTACATATGATACCCAGAATTCAATTAGAAAAAAAAGAGAGACACACACACAAACACAAGCAAGAAAAAAAACAACAAACTGTCAAGAAATAAGGCAATGAACAGAAAAGATGTAGAAATCACCCATTTTAAATGGACTTTAAAATGACTATAAATTGGGGCACCTGGGTGGCTCAGTCATTAAGCGTCTACCTTCAGCTCAGGTCATGATCCCAGGGTCCTGGGATCGAGCCCCACATCGGGCTCCCTGCTCCGTGGGGAGCCTGCTTCTCCCTCTCCCACTCCCCCTGCTTGTGTTCCCTCTCTCACTGTGTCTCTCTCTGTCAAATAAATAAATAAAAATCTTTAAAGAGTAAAAAAAATGACTATAAATTGACTATTAAAAACAAAACAAACAAAAAAACCAATAAATGTTGGCAAGAATGTGAAGAAACTGGAACCTTTATACAATACTTGCGAGAATGTGAAATGTAGCAGCCTCTGTGAAAAACAGCTTGGCAGTTTTTCATAAAGTTAAACATATTTTCATGCAAACATTTGTATAGGAATGTTCATAGTAACATAGTCATAACAGTAAAAGAGTGTAAACAACCCAAATGTTCATCAATGGATGAATGGATAAACAATATATGGTATATCCATGCAATGGAACACTATTCTGCCATAAAACAGGAATGAAGTACTGTTAAATGCTACAACATGGATAAACCTTGAAAACATTATGCTAAGTGAGAGAAGTCACACACAAAAGACCACATATTGTATGACTCCATTTATATGAAATGTCTAGAAGAGGCAAACCTGTAGATCAAAAGATTAATGGTTGCCAGGGGCTGAGGGAAGGAGGAAACTGGAAGTGACTGCTAATCAGAAAAACTAAGTCAGTGGACGAAGAGTGACGTTTTTAAAGCATTCAAAGGAAAGGAAAACTTGTCAATACAAAGCTCTGTACCCAGAAAAAAAAAAACCTTTCAAAAAAGAGGGTAAAAGAAAAATAATTAGACAAAAGCTGAGAAGACTCACTGCCAGTAGAGTGTAAAACAAGAAATGTCAAAGTTATTCAGCCACAGTAGTACTAGAAATCTAGATTGACATGAAAAAATAAAGAGAACTAAAAATGGTAAACATGAGGGTAGATTTAAGACTTTTTCTTTCTTTCTTTTTTTTTTTTAAAGATTTTATTTATTTATTTGTGAGAGAGAATGAGAGACAGAAAGCACGAGAGGGAGGAGGGTCAGAGGGAGAAGCAGACTCCCCGCTGAGCAGGGAGACCGATGGGGGACTCGATCCCGGGACTCTGGGATCATGACCTGAGCCGAAGGCAGTCGCTTAACCGACTGAGCCACCCAGACACCCAAGACTTTTTCTTTCTTTTAAAAATTTTCTTTTTTTTTTTTTTTTAAAGATTTTATTTATTTATTTATTGGAGAGCGAGCGAGAGAGAAACAGCATGAGAGAGGAGAGGGTCAGAGGGAGAAGCAGGCTCCCCGCCGAGCAGGGAGCCCGATGCGGGACTCAATCCCGGGACTCCAAGATCATGACCTGAGCCGAAGGCAGTCGCTTAACCGACTGAGCCACCCAGGCGCCCACTTTTAAAAATTTTCTTGAGGTGCTTGGGTGCTCAGTTGGTTAAGTGTCTGACTCTTATTTCTGCTCAGGTCGTGATCTCAGGGTTGTGAGACTGAGCCCTGCATTGGGCTCACTCAGCGCAGAGTCTGCTTGAGATTCTCTCTCCCTTTCTTTCTGCCCCTCCCCCCACTCATGCACACACTTGCTCTCTCTCTAAGTAAATAATCTTTTAAAATTTTCTTAAAAAGCAATTGACTTTCTAAAGCAAAAAAATAGTAACAACATATTAGAGTGTTATTAA